AATTCCCATAAAATCTCAGATAAATAGCTAGTGGGTCTCTCTTAGTAGTTTAAAACTTGCTAAAGCTTAGGAGTCTTATATTTTAATTTAAATTAAATATTACCCAAATTTAATTCAATTTCTAGATTTTAATCCAAATTCAAATTAAATTCAGATTTTCATGATTTATTACTTATGACTTCAATTCAATTTCTAATTAATTAATTCGAAACAAATGCTATTGCGGCCGAAGTACCCCGTGCCGATGAAGTCTTTGATTCCCTGTTCCTTTCCATGCCTATGTGATGATTGAGCAAAGGCAAGAAGTTAAAGTGATTGAGAATTTTATGAGAATTTTGTATAAGTAAAACATGTAAAACTTAAATATGAGTAGATCACTTCTTTATATATTTAATTAGAAGTTAGATTGAATTATAATAGAAGTTGTTAAACTCATATTGAAGTGGAATATATAATTGAAATAGAATTATAAATGGAATTATAATATGATGGAAATTGCCCTATGTATAAAACGACTTTGTGCGTAATGCATACCTAAAAAAATTTGCGTAGTACAGTATTCGACAATAATATAAGAATTTATAAGAATTCCAATTAACCTCTCTCTTTCTCTCTCTTACTTTTTATTGTCCGATTAACCTATAGTAATAAAACCCTATTAACCTTATTAATGTTTAATAAGAATTTATTTATAAATTTAATAGGAATTTGATATAATAAGAGTTAAATAAGACTTCAAACTCAATAAGTTTCCTTTGAAAAAGCTTATTAGATATTTATTTGATATTTATTAATAATTTTAACAATCTTTATAATATATATTAAGATTAGACTCCTAAGCTAGAGGTTGCTTTAAATTCTTAAGAAGGGTTCATTGATTATTTTTTTGAGATTTTATGAGTATTTTAAAATAATTTATTAAAAATTTTAAAGATGAATATTTATTCAAAGTTTATTTATGATTTTAATAATTTTTATAATTGAGTAAGATTACTACCTTCACTTCCTCGTAGAGTTTCGTCTCCCAAGCCCAGAGCAGGTTCAGAGTGGAGCAGAGGCTCTTTGGACCACCTAGTTCATTCCTAGCCGCCGTGTCCGGTCTATACTTCATCGCCAACGGCAGCTTCGATGTCCAGCACGAGCTCAGATTACTCAAGACACTGCTCGAATACACTGTTTCTATAATCCCAAAGACAGAATCAGATTAATTGATAATTCATAAAGTTCAAACAATTTGAACTAATTTTGAATTCTAGAGGAATTCTGCTACAAAACCCTAATCTATCAACTTACTTTTCAATTGCCAGAAGCTCCTGTCAAACTCAGGTTTGCCAATCTCCAGCACCTCAGAGACCAGATCTCCGGTGGCAGCAGCCTTGTGGAAATTCTCTCTGATCTCATCCACAATCTCTTTCAAGTCCTTGTGCGATGGAGAGG